CCCCAAAGGAGCACTACTAGCAACCTGCTCGCTTCCCAAACAGAGGTTGGTCCCGGTGGTGGACCGAGGAGGTCAAGTGACGCTGCATACTTCGACTACCGGAAAGCCTTTGACCTGGTCAATAATGACGTGCTACTGAAGAAGCTAGCTAGCATCGGTTTCACCCCCACTTGCTTAAATTTTTTTGCCAGCTACAGCAAGGTAGGCAGCAGTACGTGGAATGCGGGGGCATGTATCGGAGCCATATTTCACCAGGTCCGGCGTAAGTCAAGGTAACCAGGTAGCAAGGAAGGAACCTTGGGCCTCTGAATTCATTAAAATGATTAATGATCTACCCAGAGTAGCCCAGGATGCGAAATGCTTACTTTTCGAAAGACGACCTCAAGCTCTCCCTCCCTATTAACAACTTGGAGGACTGCAAGAGTTCAAACGAATAGATAGGGTTTGGTAACCTGGAGTAGAGACAATCTCTTGCAGTTTAATACCTCAAAGTGCGTGGCTATCACCTTCTCACGCTTACGCGAACCCATCTCGTATAATTATAATTTAGACGGGACACAGATGGTAAGGGGTCAAGAGGTAGGATTTAGGGGTTTGGGGTGTTAACACTGAGCTAAGATTTTCGTGATCACATAGTGAAATCTGAAAAAAGCTTATAGGAATTTGGGTTTTGTTTTACGAACAGTAAAGGACTTTAGAAACCTAAATCAATTATAGCATTTTATAACGCGTTGGTAAAGTCCCGCTAGAGAGTAACGCAGTCATCGGGCCCCACATGAAACTAAATATAGCCTCATGTTGGAGCGAGTTCAAAATAAATTTGTTAGGTTTTTGTACTTCAAGATACTATGGAGTATACCCCCTTTGTATCCATTAAAGTATCCCACGTTATTATTCTGGGTATGGTGGGATACATGAACTGAGGGTCAGAAGGGAACTCACACTCGTCTTCGTACCTGTTTAGGGTACTTAGGGGTGGGATACATAATGAAGACGTGTTAGGACGAGTCAGCATAGTGTTCCGGACAGATACGTGTGGGCGGCGCCGCCGGCCGCCGCTGCTGGCTGTCCCGTGCGGCGCACCAACCTGCAGAGAGAAGCACCGCTGACGCGCGCACTACGTACTCTGAATATAATTGCGGAACGAAGTAGATTTATTTTTATTGCTCACTGAGTGAATTCACAATAACAGCATTAAGAATTATTTCTTATAATAAATAAGTAGATGGTATAACACTATTGCATTGGGCTAAGCCTGTAAAAATAGTTGTTTTTAAAGAAAATAAATAAATAAATAAATAAAATAAATAAAAATTCTAAGCCTATCCATTGGGACGCCCATTTTCTAGTTTACGATGCCTAACAATTTTGGTTGACTTAAAAAATCGTTCTCTTTTAATTTTAATTCGCCCTTGATATTCTGACTGATAAGGTTTGTTGGGAAGGCACTTTTCCTTAGAACCGGGTACGTCTTTTACAAATATACGGGGCCTAGGGCCTTTCGTTTTTCTAATCGCAACCCTACTGATTTAATGGCGTCTACAGATTCCAGTTTTTAAGCTGCTGTTCGTTAGCTACACGTAAACGACGCCTGCTTAGGGGTTTTTTTTAAAACGCCTACAATTTGAAATCCCTCATCGCTCGGTTTAATAGCCTTCATGAGAGCTTGTTTCGTTGCTGACGAGGTCGCATAGTCCGCTAAGCTTTCCCGTAGTGGGATAGGAAATAACACAAGGCCTAGGAACGCGCGCTTTAGTAGGTACCGGGCATCCAGCAGATTTAGGTGGTAATCGAAGTTTAAAGTTTGTCCGCGTACGTTAAACTCGTTTGTTGAGTTGCGATACCCTCCATTTGTAGCTCAAAATTCGCTAACTTCGCTTCGAACGATCCCGGGTTAATTCGTTGAGTAATATCCATAATTGCCGTTTTTTTACCTACATTCATCCGAGATCCCTGATCTTTAAACTAATCATTAATTTTTTGCCAAATACTCGGTAGCCTGTGAGACTAACTCGCAGTAATTGTATTCCCCACAGTTTATCCGACCGTTAAGAGACAAAACATTTCCACTTAAACCCGAATTATTCAGCTTTTACTTCTATGTCTTTCGGCGAGAAATCCGTAGGTGACATTCGTTAATGCCCCTTTTCCCGGTGGTGTTAAAAATTCACTTGTATCCCCGGGATCCGGCAACTCGCTAACGACCGACATACCCAAACAAAGATACACCAAACAACCAATTTCAAAAAAAAGAAGTTTAATTAAACAACACGCAAAGAAAAATCAATATAAACAAAGGATACCTCCTACCCACTTTTAGAAAGAAATAAACTTACTCACCAATAGTCGTTAATAAAAAAATTTCAGCACTATATTTCTGTTTAAAAAAAAAAATTAAAAACTTACTGATATTCTTTAAAACACTATACAAAAACCTTTAGCCGTCCGCAAAACCCGGGAACTAGTCGCGGCAAAACACAGAAAACAATTTTAAATGTTAGCATATGAAGTCACACGTTAGTGGCACAGTGCCCGCGAAGGGAAGTTCCCGGATCCCTCCTATTACAGGCGCAGAGTGGACACCGTGGGTTTTTAGTCGGTCCGATTCCGACACACCACCGGGCCGCCGCAACTCCCGTGGGGTGACGGCCCGAGGGGGTTTCCACACGTAGAAAAAAAAAAGGTGTAGTCTACTATTATCAAAGTCTTCCGTATCCTCAAGCATGCCTCAAGCCGTGGAAATGACTTGGATTGTTTTAACAAAAATTGACATTTCTAAAATAAAATGCTTGGCAACGTCAAATACTTTATATTTCTGAAAGTAAACTTTACACCCATCACTTGTATTTAGTTAAAACATCGACCCATACGGTCGATGTTTTTAAACCCAAAAACAAAATTAAAATAAAATTAAATAAAAAATTAAAAATAATAATTAATTTAATTTTTTATTTAGATGCACACCATCTCCTTTGACACTTAAAATCATTTAATGTTTCTGTAGAGTTACCCCAGAAAATTATGCCATAACGTAAATTTGAGGCAACTAACTGTAGCTTTGGGTGATCAGGGTTTCTGTATTGATTAACGTATGCAATGCGTATGCAGAAATACAAAATTTTTTTTGGCAAAGCGTCTCTATATGTGTTTTCCCAAAATCTAGTTTTTACCCTCTCGTTAACCCGGAGGAACTTAGTCGAACATTTTCTATACTGTGATTGTCAATGTTATATTTTGGTATATATTACTGATGGACCGACCCGTTGACTGAAATATATAATCTTAGTTTTACTTAAATTAATTTTCAAATTATTAATGTCAAGGGCCCGTTTATTATAGATGTCAAGGAATTGTTATTTTTATTGAATTATTTTCATTATTATAAGATATCGTAACTGAAGCGTAAAGCGTAAAAGCGTTACAGTATTTGTTGTACATTTTGGAAGGTCATTAATATATAATAATAGGTCTTTACCTATGAAATTGCCGTTTTGTATGCAATAAGTGAAAGTACTTATTTTTTCAAACTTTTTATTTTCTGTTATTCGAAGTAATCACCCCTGCAATCGACGCATCTTTGCCAACGCATTGGCAGTTTTTTTGATTCTGATTCTTGTAAAAATCAGCTGGACGGGAGGCAACAAACTCTTCAAAGGCATTTTGTACTGCCTCTCGGGAAATTGAATTTTTTCCCCACTAAAAGTTGTCTAAATTTTGGAAAAAGTAATAGTGGGTATGTGCATGGCGCATGGATTTGCTTGTGCTTAAAATGGACGTAGTGGTTTTCATAAACGTTGTTTTAGGCTATTTTTTATCGATAAAATAGTTATTAAGTTCATTCAGTGTGTGTGTGTGGTGTGTTAATTTTATGTCGTTTTTGTGGTTACCTACTTTATTTTATTGGTTTTATTAATCTTAAAGTAAAACTTTTTTTTTTTAATGTGTAGATCGTATTAAAAAAATCGTTTTTAAGGATTACGAAATCTGAAAATCTACAAAGTACAAAAAAAAACGTAGAGGTACATAAAAATATAAGAGCACGTTTTTGTTTACCATCACGGCGCTATAGCCAGCATTTGTGAATTGAAGAGAAACTTGTGAAGAAATACATTGTAGACGAAAATCCGGGCGCTACCCAGTAGCTTAGCTCCTGGATTTTCGTTTTCACCAAAACACCAAAGGAGCTGTCACTCCGTTGCCTTGGGTACACTGCACTTTGTAAAGGTATTCTAGCTCACCCTTCAAGTATATTTTGAATTTTAAACTCAACCGTGTAAACTGAACTATCATCATTGTTCCATCGTTAAGAATAAAAATCTGTCTGTAAAATTACGTGGCGAGAAATCTGTAAATCCCTTTTTATGCTTTTATTACCAAAATGACTAAGCAGTAACGAAACTAGTTATCAAATACTAAACATCGTACTACCTTCCAAACCAATATAACAGAGACGTACCGTGCAAATGAAATCCGCTCTGCAGTCCGCTCTGTTCTGCACTTTCAGACGTATCGGTATTATGGTTCCCAAATAAAGTTGAGAATTCTAAAGTTTTTTCCTTCGCTGGCAAACATTTTAGTATCACTCTATACACATAAGTTCCTACTAAATGGTTGGACACTTCTAACAATTCTTCAGTCTCTCCCACCACTAATGGTGAATATATCATTGTTAAATTGCCTAGAATAGAATTGTAGTTATAATGGTGCGTGATTTTCTACAAGGCATGACAAAACAACCGTCGTGTTTAGCAAGATGCAAATAGTGGTTAAAGCTCCTCTAGTTGGGTTTCCACTTCTACGTACAATCGTTTTAAATGCCAATGTTTGAAGAAATAGTGGCGTCTCACTTTTCATTGTTTTGTAAGTAGGTAGGTAAGTATTAATAGGCCATCAATTAAGGTTTTTAAGCTTCTGTAGACTGATTAAGTAAACCTGTATCTAATTTCAAGTTACTTTCATTATTATGAGGTTAAAAATTACCTCTGACTTCCTGTTAATCGTCAGTACATCAGGACACTGCAGTTGTTCACTTTTAATATAAAATAATGACTCAGTGGAGAGCGGATTTTTATGGAGAGCTCTTTTTGTACAGATTCTCGAGCTCGCGATACAAAAGTTAACGTAGCTACGATAGGGCTTGCAGTAACCGTCGCTATTATATTGTAAAATTGGTATTCCCTACTTATTTCATTAATGAACATCACCTGTAAATAAATTATTTAGCTGCAATTGTGGGAGGTATCTACAGGATCAATCACCTAACGGAGACATACCGAACCGGTCTAATCTAGTGTTGGAGGGTTATGACACCCGTTTCCTCAAGAATTTTCTAGAAGTAACCTGCCGGAGTTAACTAAAGATAACTAAAATTATAATACATTTTATCGGTTACTACTTTCTACTTCACGGACATGGACTCTTCGTTTCCTCTATTTCAGAATCCTATACCTAAATAATATTGATAGGATCTGTAACAGAGTACCTGTCACAGAGTAAGTATCATCAAAGTTAATGTTACTTATTGGTAGATCAATTATAAGTATTAGCATAAAGTTAATGAGTTGCACTAACTTTGAATGTCATTTCGCATTCTTCATAACAAAACATAAGTCCATCGACATGTGGCGCTAGCTTCTCCCATGTTTTGATTGTTTCTGGATGCTTTATTTCGTAATAACCTTCGAATTTTTTGGGAACGACTTTTGATAACTCTGTAACACAATGTAGATTCAGGTTCCTAAAAAAAACAATAAATTAAAAAAAAAAGGAAAATTTTTAATTTTAAACACTGGGGCACAAGTCGAATTTGAACTGAAACATTTGTTTTAAAAAAAAAGGC